GGCCGGCCGGGACGAGGAAGCAGCTTCCTTTTGCGGAACAGTTTTAGATTTTTTTGGCCATTTTGTTTTTGTAAGAAAAGAAGAATAGAGATTGGAATATTTGGTGTTTTGGGAAGAACAAACAAAGAAACTCAAAGACCTGGAGATAGGAAGCTCTGAAGAATGCAAAGAACTATGAAGATTAGAATGAAAGAGATTGAAAGTAAAGTTTGGGCAAAAGAAGAAAGATACATTTATAGGTTGAAGACGACGGTACAGAACCAGTAGTGGCCGACAACAACTGACAGGCATTTAATGCCTCGCCATCCGAACCAACAGGACGTTTCAGTGCCCACTTGTCACTGACGTCATGGTCGGGCTTGTTGCTTACGTCATGGTAAACCGAGGGGAAGCCCGAAGATTCAATTCGTTTCTTGTCATTATACTCCAAAAAATGAGGGGACTATCTGTATACGGTCAAAATCGGGCTTGCCTAATTTTGTATGGCTAATCGAAACCGGAGTGGCAGACAAAGGCTCGGCCCCGCGTTATATCGAACCATGGCACGGAGATGGATTGTTAAGCTCATGAATCAATGACCGACCAAGATCGAGACCAGTCGTGATCGAGATCGAAGCGAGATAGAGACCGAACAGGATCGAAGGAAGCCTGCTAAACCGAATAACAGAAAGCCGAGATATCCGTGGTCGGGCAAGGATCGAGGCAGAAATCTCGGCACGTATCGAGTCAAGACCGGACATTTAGCCAATCATGAGATTTCCTTGTGTATTTAGAATTGTACCGTATGTAAAATTCCTCTACTATATAAAGTGGGTTCTAATCATTTTGGAGTCAATTACCTGCACATCAAAACCAAAATATTTTGTTTACAACTCTGCGCAAAGGCAATCAGAAGACGGGACCCCACTTTTGAACAACATAAATGGAACCTTACTTAAAATTGGATTGCCAAAAGTTATTTCTTGTGGAACCAAAACAAGCTAATAAATTTATGAAACAACTATGTAACTACAAATAATCTAAGTTTTGGTGTGAAAAGTCTAGCCTAAATTGCAGCATGAAAAATCACTCTTGACAATAATAACATCAATGTGATTAAGTTTGCCAAACAGATTGTAAATCAAGTCCAATGCCAAATACAATTGTTAGTCTGGCAGATGCTTTTCCAAACAAGATCTTAGTCAGTACAGTCATGAACAATTCCAAGATAAGTTTGAGATCAACTCTAAACCAAAGCAACTAGAGCTAAAAAGAAGTATACCGGTTCAGTTTGCCTATGGAAGGATTCCAGCCTTGACTTAAGAACAGCAGCGGTGTCATCTTGGCTTGTATCAAAGGCTCTCCAGTGACCGTTCATGAACGCAAA